CTTTGGACATTGAGACATTTCTCCTCTGTTGTCATCAGGAAGGGGAATGGGCTTATTTAACAGCCTTTTATGGGAAAACAGTGTAGGGCTTTTTTTCTCTTTTCTATATTAGGAGTCCTCCCACCCCCCAATCGGAGACGCGATAACCAATCTCAAGCAATCTGAAGGAAAAGCAAGACGGGGAATGAATTCCTTAGAAGAGCAAATAAGAGAAGGAGACGCTTTTATCCCTTCTTTGGTTCAACTAATCTCCTATTACGATTGGAGAAGAGCACTGAGAATTATAGGATTTAGGACTGGAACCTTTGAGGCCATCTGCTGATTTCTTCCATGGTATAAATATACCGTCTTCTAATCTGTAGCAAATGGTCTGGCTGAGTCCTCTCTGCTAGAAGATCCTCCGTGGTGGAGAGGACCCTGCATGGGGGCAACCTGTTCCAGTAATGACGACATTATTATTGCTATGGGTTGCATAGCAGAGAGGTTAAAAGCAAGGTTCTGCAGGAAGGCTGCCTGATCTCCAACACCAGTTTTGCCCCAGCTTCATTTGTTGGTCCTGTAGATTCCTTCTCCGACTGTCTCCATCCTGCTCTGCTCCTCGGGAGGTTGAACTACAAGGTCTGCATATGAGTTGTGCCAATGTGCTCTCTTGCCCTCTGCTTCCGGCTTTGGCCAACAGGCAGCCCCGCAGGGGAGAGAACAGGAGGGAAGTAGGGGTCAAGTTATTTATTCCCAGGCCCCCTTCCAGCAGGTCGCCATGGCAACAACGTCTCAGTTTATGTCAGCTGGAACTGAGCGCTCCCTCTGGGTTCAGGTTAGGGCGGGTAATGGTGCCCCACTGTTACAGTCTGTGGGCTCTGCACTATCCCTTAGAGTTTCCCTATATCCTTCCCATACCCTTCTAAATAGTCTCTTTGTTAAACTTTGCACAACGTACTTAATTTGAATATGCCATCTTTTTCTAGCTGGGACCTTGACTGACACAACCACTCACTAACTGCGTAATGCTGGGCAAATTCTGTAACCTCGCTTGGACTCAGTTTTCTCCTCTGTAAAATGGGGGTAATAATAATAATATACGCTGTAGAAGGACATCTTAAGAATCAAATGAGATAATATATATATTAAGATACTTTGAATCAAATGAGATAATATATATATTAAGATACTTGTTATTTAGGACTCAGCAAATGCTAGGGTAATGCTCCAACATAGTCTCCAACTGGGACCATGAAGTCCCAGCCTAAACACTACCTTAATTCAACCGTGGTAAGTCACTTCTCACAGCTTGGGTTAAGCCTTAAGTCAACCATCAATAAGGCAGAAAAGAAAAAAATCCCTCAGAGTAAAAACTAACTTTGAACATCCCTTACGTCACCTATCAGAGGACACTACAGTCAATTTTTTGGTATTCAGTCCTGCATTGTAGTTTTTATTCCTGCTAAGTCTGAGAACCTGTGGGCAAGACTTAAGAAAGGTAAATCAGCATGCAAATGTGAGAGCATCCCACCTCTTCTGCTTTTGCCATAACCATGGAATCACTAGAGGAGACTGAGAGATGCTAGAAAATTCGAAAGTGTTCTTACTGGCTTGTAGGGTTGACCTCGTTCTGTTCTCATATCAGGGCTTTATCGACTTAATGTTGGCTGGGAGATTTGTATAGTTTGTTGTGAAGATAGAAAGGAGTTAATGGGGTTACACTTTAGGTGGCTTGAGGGGAGGCTAGATTTTCACATGGGCTCAGTGGGAAATTAAACGGGGTGTGTGCTGCTGTTCCCACAAGTCCAGGATGACCCTTTCTTGAGCACTTAAGATGTGCCAGCCTCAGAGCTAAGCACTTCCTACGTGTTAGTTATCCCATTTTAACCTCACGGCAACCACGAGGTGGTATTATTATGTTCTCTGGTTTTGAGACGAAGAAGCTGAACACCTCAAGTGCCCAGCCTAAGAATACACAGTTTAATTGACGCCAGGGGCAGTATTTGATGCGTGTCTGCCTGACCCAGAGCTGAGTTTGGATCCGGCACCGAGGCAGTGTGGGAGTGTGGCTTACCCTCAGTGTTCCATATATGTGCAAACTGAGAAGAAAACTCCATGTTTTATAGCTTTTCATGTTAGTTGTCCACGATAGCACACACGTGTTTGCCTGGAAAGATTTTTAAATGCCCTGTATTTGGCGAGAGGAGGGTCAGCCTGGTATCTTCCTATTGTCTTTGCAAAGGCTAAACACACCAATCTGCTCCAAGTACTCCCCAGAGCCATGTTTCTGGACCCCTTTCCATCTTTTTGAATCATCTCTAGTCCAGTGGTTCCTGATGCTGGCTGCACAGTAGGGGAGGTTTCACTTGGGGAAGTTTAAAAAAAAAACAAAACCTGAGTCAGGGCCCTTCTCCAAATCTCTGGAAGGTGGCCCTAGCATTATTGTTTCTAAAAAGCTCCCTCAGTACATTTTAATGGGCAGTCCATATTGAAAAGCACTCCTCCAATTTGCTTAAAAAATGAAGAATTAGTGGGAACGTTGGCAGTGCCCTCTGGAGCAAGGAAAAAGAATCAGTTCCTTCTAGTTAATGATTATTATCCAGAATTATCTGTGGCAAATTCCACATGATTTAATAGGCCTCATCTCCAAGGGCAGCTGAATGAAAATGTCTCTCAAGTATAAGACGGGTGTCAAGGTTCCCAAACATAGCCGTTTGCAGGAAAGGTGGCAAAGTGGAGCCACTTCTCCTGTCTAATCTGGCCATGCTTGTTGGTTCACTGAATTCTCTCAGGTCCTGAACACTGAAAATATAATTAAGACTGTTTTTCAATTGGATGGTTTAAAAAGTGAAATCAGCTCCATTTCTTTTTCTCTGGTCTTTTACTTAACTCTGTTTCTGTACCATCAGGTGTGTTGCCCTTGGCAGTGAGAGCTAAGGAATGGTGCTGCTAAGCCCTCCCCACCTGTGTACAGATACTGAGGAATTCTGATGGAGGTCTTCCTTTGTGCTCATTGTAAACGGGGTTGAGGTAGTGCTGCTGGGATCATTAACGTCTAGAGAGATGCCCATGGCTTTGTTTTCCAGCTGCCACCTCGGCAGAAAGGGCAGCAAAATCCCTAAATTATAAAGAGAAAATGAGACTGTACATATTCTGCACTTGACAACTTCACATACAAAGTCACACATCCACTCCTGACAGGACTAGAAAGAAGGCAGTACCAAGCATCACACGAAGGTTCAGGAAGGTAGTTTTTCATCTACAAATTATTATAAATCACAACTAAACTTTAAAAAAGAAAATGCACAATTAGAGGTGATATGAAGGGTCCTAGGACAGAGATGATATAGGTCTGGTTAATCTAATGGGGCACACAGGAAAGAGAGAGAGAGCAGGAGGGAAGGGGAGAGATGGAGGAAGATGTTTGGATTCAGATTTTGGGAAGGGAGGTGAAAGGAGGAGGTGAGCAGAAACGTTTTAAAACCTTCTATTTAGTTCTTTTCTCTTGTTATTTCTCTAATCTGCCTATTCACCCTTGGATATTGTGCTCAAGAAACTATCCTCCAAGGAACCTCAGATTAAACTGAACAATTTTTGAGGGTTTACTGGGTGCCAGACTCTAGTTAAGAGCTTTGCGTATCTTTTACATTTCATTTCGATTTCTTAGCTATGCGAGGTTGGGAATGGTACTTCCGTTTTGCAGAAGGGATGAACAGCAGTTGAGGACTTTCCTCCCAGATTATTCCACTGGAAGGTGAACTCAAGCTCTCAGATACCAGCGTCAGGCATTTAACCACGAAGCGTCCCCGCTGAGTCTCCAGCTCCCCTGGCACGGTCCCCGGGATGAACTCCGCGAGTTTCCACGTGGCCCGCTTCATTCGATCTTCGTAAAGGGGTCAGCACAGCCACGGGGCTGGAGAGCTCCTCTCCCGGGGAATAAGACTAGACAGGCGGCGACTGAAGACACTACGGGCGTCCCAGACCCCCTCCCGGAGGAGCCTGGAAAATTCCAAGGGGCAGGCTTGCACCGCAGATATCTCTCGGGCGCGTTGACACTTTGCAAATCTCTCTCAAGAGAGCCTGTTTAATTCTCACCGCGGCCCTGCAAAGGGGGTTATTTTGGCCCCATTTTCCAGAAGAGGAAATTGAGGCCTGCCCTCCCCGGGGTGGGTGTCTGTAGGTGTCTGCCTCTTCCTAGAGACAATAAAATCTGCACGGATTTTGTCTTTATTATGCAAAGCCGGCGTGGAGGCTCGGACCCTCCCTTGACAGAGCCCATCTGTCTCTGCGCGCCGCCCCCGGGGCACAGAAGCCTAAGGCAAGCGGAGCAGAGTGGGTGAAAACGCGTCCCCACCACTTGCCTCGCCGTCTCATCGCGCCTTCCCCTACAGCGCCCCGGAGGCCGACCTCCCTTGGCTTAAAAAAAAAACCCAAAAAACTACATCCTCCCCAGCACCCGCCCGCCGCCCCAGGGAGTTGCATTAATATTAATCCCGATGCATAATTGAAGGCCGGAGATTTACTCGGGCCGTGGCGGGGGAGGGCGCACAACTGGGCTGTATTTCGGCCGTGCCACTCGTGTTTTGGCCGCTTGGGTTCCTAGGGGCCTGGTACCCAGGACGTGGGGGGGGGGGGGGGGGTGTGCCGCCTGTGAGGATGAGCTTGGGAGTGAAGTGAGCCGGAGCGAGTGTGCCAAGGAGTGAGACGGGGTGCTGGGGGCTGCTCCAGGGAGGCGGGGATGGAGGGGCATCCCAGGTCTCCGCGACGTGGCTTGGGCTTCGCCCAGCGCGGGGTGACCCCGGGCCACGCGGGCTTGAGGGGAAACAATAGAGACAGCTTAGATCCTGGGCTCCTGCCACGGACGGCCCAGGCCTTCCCGGGAGACCAGCGGGGCTTCTTTGCTTATTTGGCTAATTTATGGCGAGAGGCTGGGGGTAGGGATGGCAGAGGAGGGACGGCGTCTGGAGACGGGGGGCGAGGGGGCGGCAGTTAAAGGAGTCTCCTGAGGCGGCGGCGCTGGTGATGTCAGCTCTCGACGAAAATAGAGAGGGATCGCCTGCAAATCCCCTGCTCCGGCGGGGCTAAACCTTGCAATCCCTCCCCGACCGGCGCGGAGCCAGGGCGCAGCGGCCTCCACCGCCTCCTCCGGCGCGCACACACACCCACACACCCGCGCACGCACGCACACACTTCCCTGCACACCCACAGCACACGCACTCGCCGCCCTCCCCTGCCACCGTCCTCCGAGCCCGCGCTCCGCCACTCGCCCCGCGGCGAGCCCCACAGCAAATACAGGTGGCAGCGGCGGCACGTCGTCCCTGCGCGCACTCCCGCAGCCCGGGGGACGGCGCTCTCTCGGGGAAGCCACCCTCCGAGGTCCCCCCAACGCCCCCCCGAGCGCCCAGCCAAGCCCCAGCGAGGCCGGCGGAGGGAGCGCGGTGCCGAGCGGAGACGCGGCTTAGCTCCGGCTGGAGCCTCTTGCGCCCGCTGAGGCGCTAAAGGGCTTACCCCGGAGGGGGGTGGAAGGGCGGGGAGAGGCTCCCCCTTAAATACCGCGCTCGGCCACACTCGCGCGCTCACCCCGGCACCCGCTCACTTCTCGCCCGCCGCTGCCGGATTGTGTCGAAGAGGAGGGGGCGTTCCCCAGGCCATGGCATCCACAGAAGGGTGAGGGGCTTTTTCTCTGTACCCGCAGCGAAGCGGGGAGCGCGCGCGGTGTGGTGTCCGCCTATCCGGGATGGGAACAGAGAGACGCCGGCGCCGGGCCTCGGAGACGGTGGCAGAGCGATGGCCTGGCTGGGGGTGGGATGGTGGGATGGTGGTGGTGGGGGGAATTGATTTTCTTTCGAGAAGCTTGCTGCTTAACCCTTTGAAGATGCGAGAGACGGAGGATTGCTTTATTTTAATTAAAAAGGTTCGGTGGAGGTGTGAAAAAGAGTGACGAAAAATCCTGTTGAGGTTACTTTTGAGATTTGAAAACAATAAGGGATTGGGCACAGTAAGAGCGGCAGACATTGCTGAGGGAAGCAGCACTTGGAGCGCGGCGCCGGTTGTATGGTGGGGACCGGCCGGGAATGAATGAGCTGGGACCCGGGCCGGGGCGGGGCGAAGACCAGCGCGCGCCGTCTTGAATGTCAGATTTGCAGAGTCGCGGAGTAGATACCCGGCCTGCTCCGATCTCTTCATGTCCCTGGATGGCGGAATCTCCCTGGCCAGTGTTAAGGAAAAGTGGAAAAGATTTGGGTGCTTCCCGGGAAGAGGCAGGAAAATCAGTGGCTTTGGGCAGGGACAGGAGTCCCCAAACTCCAGCGGAGCGTTGACCTCCCCCTCCCCCTCCCCCCCCCATTCTGCCCGCTGTCTTGGAGTTGTCTCCTGCCTCCTGAGGCTGCAGTTGGATGGAGAATGATCCCAATGATAAATAAAGGGAGTGTCTTTAGCAAGAGGGAGATGGGGCTGCAAGAATCCCTTGAATACTCGTACCTCAAAGGAAGTGTCCAGAACAACGTCCCTGGACCAGTATCTCCCAGGAAACTTTCCCAGCTCGGTAGAGTCTGAGTAGGAATGAAAGACTGGTTGGGGAGCTCAGCCCTTTGGTTAATTCACAAAAGTGCACTAGATACTTGCAAGAGACCACTGGATCCATATTAAGTGGAAAGCAAATATCAGAGGCTCCTCTGAGCACAGGTGGAAGGTCCTTGGTGCTGGAGCTTTCCAGGCCTTCTGCCTAATAAATTTTACCAACTCTGCAGGCTTGTTTTGGGGGAATGGGTCTCTAAGTAGGAGTATAGAGCGGCTCCAAAGTTAGATCTCTAGACTTTAACCTCGAGCGAAGGGCAAATATTTCTAAAACTGTCTCTCTGTGTCCAAGAGAAGGAACTCTTCCCTTTTCTGGCCCCTGGAGTCCTTCCAAAGAGGGGCTGGCACCTTGTGGTTGCATGAGATTTCTCCTCTTTTTGTCCTAATATTTCAGCAGTGTGGACCTTTTTGATTATTAGTTCTCCAAAGAGATGCTCCAGGAAGATGCTTGTGTACAAGGAGGGCGGTACATTGTGCTAACACAGATCTCTAGAATTAAATATTCAGAGCTCATATGTCTCAACCCCAGTGTCTTTGCCTGTTTAATTAAATAGTCTTTCATATTAGAAAAGATATAAAGGCATTTCTGGCTGCCTTAAGGTCCCTTCTAGATTTGTCCCTGCTTGTAAAGGCTAGGTTGGAAAACATCGGTGAAAGAGATTGATGATGGCAGTCTTTCAAATCCTGCATCCTTATTTCGATGGCCAGATAGTAAAGGGAGAGGTTAAGACAACAACAAAAATCCCCAAATTAAGTGTGTTTACCTCACCTGTGTCCTAAATGAGACCTGCCCAATGATGACTCTATATTTGATTTAAATATAGAGCAGAAGTGATTCACATTCAATTAATTAATGTCGTGTTATACACTCTGCATAGTCAGGAAAAGATTGGTCAAAGGAATTTGCATTTAGGAGAGGAAAGAATTGAGAACATTTGAAAGGCTGGGAAACAAATACAGAACGAGCATGACACATTGTCACTTCAGAGCAGTTACTGAGGAGCAGGTGACATTCTCAGAAGCCCTGGTCTTTCCTTTTTTCTTCTCTTCCTTTCTTCCATCTTTTCTTCCAGGTGCATTTACTCAGTACTTGTTGGGTAGACCTCACATGCTAGGCACTCTAGGGGGCTACAAAGACACAAGACTTTGATTAGTAAATTGTTCACGTGGTTTAGTGAGATTCTCTCGCCTCTTCTGATGTCTTTGGTTAATGTGCCTTACAGAGGGACGTTCACTAAGAATCCTCAAGCTGGTTGCCTTTGTTAGCCTGTGTCTTCTAACAACGTTGAAACTGTTTCCTTGAGACATGCATTGCTGAGAAGGAAGCAAAAATAACAATAGAGTCTTATGCTTTCAATGTATGTATTTTCCAATTTTTTTTTTTTTTTTTTTTTGCCGTACGCGGGCCTCTCACCGTTGTGGCCTCTCCCGCTGTGGAGCACAGGCTCCGGACGTGCAGGCTCAGCGGCCATGGCTCACGGGCCCAGGCCGCTCCGCGGCATGTGGGATCTTCCCGGACCAGGGCACGAACCCGTGTCCCCTGTGTCGGCAGGCGGACTCTCAACCACTGCGCCACCAGGGAAGCCCCAACGTATGTATTTTCAGTTCAACTCTGTTTGATCCAGAATGTTTGGGGAATGGAAGAATATGGCAAACTGACCATTCTGGTCACCATTTATTTGGTGATGTAGTTACAGTCAACGGCATACGCTGATTACCAATTTTGAAAGAATTATTAGAAGCAACAGTGACATCTTATGTTTGTTTAGCACTTCACTTTCAAAGCTCATTTGTGTACATCATCACATTTGATTCTTCCAGTAACTGTGAAGTAGGCGGTCCAATGAGGATGGACTTTGAGAATAAACTGATATAGAATGTAATGTCATCTTTCCCAAAAGATTCCAGGACTTGGCCGAACTTTGGAGTTATCGTCTGGAAATGTCAATTATCCTGGAAGAGTGTGCTAGGCATGTCTGGAGCAGGAGATTACCAGCCTTCTCTCAAAACTTCGGCATACACTGTGCAAATTGCCTTGTGGAATATTCTTATTATCAGCCCGTGCACTTGGTCATTGCCTTTGCAAAGCATGCTCGAACACAGTCTGGTTATTTGAGGTTTCTGATGATTTGGAATTGGGATTATTAGCATCCAGCTTCTAGAAAACTCAACAGTGGACCCTTTGGTAGTTCCCAGGCCCTGAGAGGTATTTTCCTGCAAAGCAACGTCTAATTTGATAGTTGAGCATTCTGTTTTTCTGAGTCCTCAGACACGGCTAGAATTATGTATGGTTTTGGCCCCTGATCCGAATTGGAAAGAGATTATCAGTAGTTGGTGGCAGACTGGCTAGTGTCCATTATAGACTGAATTATGTTGGAGCATTCAGATGCTGTAGAGGCAGGCATTTTAGAGCTACGTTCTGGGGGTGGGAGACAGCTAGGTCACCATGTGTGTCACAGGTCCAAGGCGATCTATGTTCTGATAAGCTCCCAGGAGCCAAGGGGTCAGAGCGAAAGCCACGTGCGAGGGCTTGGGTTTCAATTTGACTTAGAAAGCCAGCGAAACAGAAAACTGCTGACAGCAGAAAAACCCCACAAGAGAGATCACTGGATGTATTATTTCAAGCAAACAAAAGCAAAACATAACGATTGATTTCTCCCGCCCCCCCTTGGGAATGAGGTTGAGGTCAGCAGGAGGAAGATCCCACGGAATAGACTTATTGGGAAGGGAATGGAGGGCATGGGGTTTGGGTTCCTGAGGAGGTTGGTTGCACGTTGCGTGCCTCAGGCTTCACTGCAGTTTTCATTTCTCATTTTCAAGAATATAAAAATCAGCCTCCTTGGGTAAAATAAAGATGAGTGAAACTCAAATGAGAAAGCCATGTCATGTTTACTAACATGGCCTCTTGTGAGTGACTGAAAGCTTATTTCTCATGAGATAATTGCTAAATCCAAATGAAACTTGTGATGTGGAAGAGCCGAGATGTTAAAAACCAAAAGGCATCAGAAAAAAAAAAAAAAAAAACCAAAAGGCAGTTCAGCCCATAAGTATCAATGGCCGGTTCTTTTCTTCTTTAATGCAACACAATGAGGAGCTGTCTCCTTAGGCTTCAGATTTCAGGGTATTGTCGGACAGGGAAAAGTCTTTAAGAGATGGTGGTGCTTTGGCTGCAGAAACGAGCATTGTTTAACAGCGAAGTGTGAGATTTCTGGGTCAATGTGCCATAAATCATACAGATCCAGGATTGCAAAACTGACAGTTTGAAGCTCAACACAGGATGATTTCAATGGAAATCTCATCTCCCCATCCTCTTCCATGGCTGTATCACACAATGCCCAGATGTCTGGTTTTCCCCCTTTCAAAGGCAAGCTAAATTGTTTTCCATACTGATTCTTTCCCCCTTGGGACTGGCTTGCCTCTTGGAAAGAACTGCATCTACTCATTTCAGTCACCTGCTATACTTATTTTCACCGAATCAGACACCCATCATTTAAAATCTTCTAGCAACAGTAGGCAAAAGAGTCATTCTCAAGATGAAATTTCAGTTTTTTGTTTGCATTTTCACAACGTGTCCTGGAAGTCTGAAAAAGCTAACAAGTGCCACACACCGCCTTGCTTGCTGTCTTCTCTCCCATGCCCTTAACAGCTTGTTGGGGGCCAGCAGAATGTTTCATAGCAAGGGTTTTAGTATCCAGATTATGGCAAATCTCTTTATTTACCAGATCCTGAGCTTGCTGTCTCCTCCCTCTGCCCGCCCCTCCCCCCTCCCCTCACCAAGGGCCAAGTCCTTGGAATGAATTAATTAAAGGAGTGTTTAAAAATATCTATCTCATTGCTCCATCTCCACGTGCTCTGTCGTTGATTGGAGGCAGATGGGCTGCATATTTGTCAGTAGAATAGAAAAGGACTAGCATCTCGTTATAAATCTGTCTGGTTGGCATCAGAAGATGGCAGAAAGACAATGGGCCAGCAATATTAAAGGAGAATAAAGACAAGGGGAGATCCTTAAACGTTAAAAAATAACACCTCATTTTCTTAGTGCTTGGTTTTTTGTTTTTAATTTCAATGGTCGTTTTCCAACAGTGTTGATG